TCAATTTTCTTCATGCTTAAGCCGTTTGTGCTTGATCCTGAATTACTCAAAAAATTAATAGCATCTTTGCTATCCGTAATTAGGTTATATTTAGAGTTTTCTTGATAATTCCCTATATTTTGTCGTAACATGTTCATAGACATTGTTTTTGATACACCACTGCTGTCCTTTCCAAGGCACTAAGAATCATACAAAACATAATGTTTGTGCTTGTGACAACATTAAACCAGAAAACATCCGGTTTACCGCTTATTCTATAGACGATGGGTAAAGTCCAAAAAGATCAAATTCCATTTTCTTTTTTAAGGACTAACTTTTATTAATCTAAAAATCCGATACGCCTATCATGAATTACATTATTTAATAAAAAACATCAGGTTTGACAGCTAGCGTTAGCATTCTATCATCACTTAATAATTACCTAGTGCGTAGCTGGAATAATTCGACAAAAAAGGTCAATAGAAGTCCGCTTGAGACCGCCTCCACAGTCTTAATAACTCTTAATACCCAAACTTTCTTCTATGTTTCATTATTTAGTTATCATATTACTACTGAAGGATTTTAGAATTCATTTCGGTGATATTCAAATTTCTTGGCTTCGGGCATTAAATAACAAATTTCCGTATTTATAGCAAAAATTGAGTTGTTGCACAATTAATTACTATACCAAATACGATTGGTTATCATCGTTATATAAAATTTAGTTGATGGTACAAATGAAAAGTTTTAATTTCGGTGTTGAAAATAACGTAAGACATAATTTACACTAATTATCGTCAAGCATGAGTACTTTATTAAATTTATAAAATAAGGAGTCGGTTTTTACCAAAACTTTTAAATATTACATGGATGATTTATAAGTAGCTTTTATTATTTGCTTTAAATTTTTTTCGTTACATTCTTTACTTACCTACATTTTTTATCTGTTAGTTTTTTTTTCATGAATAATTTAAGAATAAAGGTGATGAATTATCTTTATTTTTAGTAATAGAATATGTCATATCGATACGTACGTACGTACAGTACGTACCGTTAATCTGAATTGATTTTTTCCTTTTAAAAATATATTCCGTGCATTATACATAAGTGTTATAGTTTACTATAAAATAGCACTAAAAATTTGTGGGAAATTGATTCATCATGAGATAATTATATAATATAATAGGAAATACCCTATTTTAACGGAAAATAAGAAACACATTCAAACCCTAACAATAAAAAAAAATTTAAGCTTATCCCTCAATAATTATTATTTAATTTTTAAAGATTGAAGTTAAAATTTTTAGATATTACGTTAATTTTTAAATACTCTGAAAGTATTAAATTATTAACCATTTGTTAAATCCTAAAAATAATCACGGCTACGTATTTTATTTTATTTTTTGAAAATTTCTTAATTTACATTAAAAACGGGTATAATTCGTAAAACTATATAATGCAAAACTTAAAAAGCAAAAAAATTAGGATAGGGTTTAAGGTTTGGATAAAACTAAAATTTGCAAAAAACCTTTTTTTGTTAAACCCCAAAAAAGGTTTATAAGTAAAATTTTAAGTATTATAAATGCCTGTGTTTCATACACTAGTGTACAAAAAGAAATTGTCTTTGTTAAAAAAAAATAAATAAATAAAAAAAAAAAAAAAAAAAAAAAAAAAAAAAAAAAAAAAAAAAAATTTCTGGCGTATAGCTATCAGGTTTGAATAAGTAATGATTAAAGTTCTGTGACCTATTAACAAATGAACATTACATTTAATTTACAATGGATCCAGAGATGGTAATAGAAGTGTGCCGTGCACAATAATACGTATCGAAAATTCTTTCTCAAAGACGTCGTACACTGCATGCGAGAAAATATTACAATCAACTTGATAATGGATTATTGTCTATCAGATTGTAGA